TGCCTCGGGGCAAAAGACCAAGTTAGGCATTTCACATAGAATTGGATAGATATCCGTTCTAAATGAACCATGGATTAATGTATTGTGAAGATATGGTGTACCCTAATTTCAAGTCAACACCCAGGGTCGATCCTAAAGCCAAGTAATCCTATAGGGACTCTTCTTGAATTCTCTTATAATGATCTTATCTACTAAATGCTAGAGGTTAAGATCAATATGTGGAATTTCAAGTTGAGTAAAAAGAAGAGTTTCGAATTTCTAATGGTGGGGTACCTCTTCTAATTTTCTAAGACTAGTCAATAGGAAAGTCCTATGGCTAGACCTAGGATACTGAAGAAGTTTCTAGACCTCAACCAAAAGTGAGGTCAACAACAGTTATAATATTTTCTTTTCTTGCATCTTACAATTATTAGTTACAAGCTAAAATATCAAATCACAAGCTTATGTCGAGTGATGTATTGCATATATATTTACTTGCAAAAAAAATTACTGTTATGTAAACTTGTATGCAATGGTATGTAGGTCGGTGAAATCATTTGAATATTGGCTAACAGGGCAATGTGTTTGCAGAATGAAGAATTTACAGAAAACCATCAAAATTCCTTGGAATGATATTGATCTTCCTGATTTTAGGGTTTCAGTTAAAACCGACTATGTATAAAGATGAAATGAAGTTGAATAATAATTAACTACTAATTTTTATATTGGTAAGACATGATCAGGTTTGAAATGATTACATATTTTCTTACAGTAATTGATTATATTTTGTTTACCACGCTCTTGTTGTCTTATAATGATATATATGCATATGGTAATTATCTCTGGTTATTATTTATATTGCATGCCCTAATTCCTTGTCATTATGGTTTAATAAATAGTGATTATTTACTAAAAATAATTTGTCAAACACACCCATTGATATTTTAGGACAACAGGTTCTATTCACTCACTTGCATACCATCTCCACAGGAACAGATCTTCTAATTATATATTTCATTTTGACTTTTCTAGTTTTGCATTATTTATTGTATTATCCTTAGGCTTTGAGTTGTTGTTTCTCTTGATCTCATTTTAGTTTTGTTTCACTTAATTTTGATTTTTTTTTTCTGTTGTATCAGTTGAAATATTTCTTATGGAATAAAAATTTATCTTTCATTATTTCTTTATGCATACCATTTTTTCTTTGAGAATAAAAATTATGTTAAACTCATTTCATCATGCCCTGCATTACAGGGGTGTGCCACCTCCAAACCTAGCGTTTGACAAAATGTTAGGAAAGTTTTAGAAGAGAAAGAAAGCAAGGAAGTGCAAAAAAAGACAAAAATAGTTAAAGAGCAACTTTATAGCAATTTTTTAGTTCTATCTTTATTTTTTTGTATTTTCTTTTATTTTTTATAACAATAAATTGTTGTTATTGTGTGTTTCATTTAAAAATCTTGAACTAATTTAATCAAACTTTGAATTTGTGGTTATTATTATACTATTCTAAATTTATCTTAAAATTTTATTATATTTCTAAGAGATTATATTTAAATTTCTTTAAACTAATTGAATTTGCTTACTAACAATAGATTTATCTCAAACTTATTGTCATATGAGTATATAGATGAGATTATAGAGGATCAACTAAAAATAATTTAATGGGTTCTCAAATGTGATAAACATATACATACTTAGGACTTACCATCATTGAAGAATTATTTTTAATACAATTGATATTTGCTATTCAAATAGACAAATTGAATAATGAAATATTAATTAAATCTTTTAGTTATCGATAAAGATTGAGAGATTATGTATTTTTTATTGACATTAAAATTTATCATTTCAAAGAATTACAGGAAATTAGTTTAAGTATATCATAAATTAGTAGTGAAATGTCCATTTGTTTTCATTTATGTTAATTAGGATTTATAATTTAGATTAGTTCTATATATTGTAATTGTTGAATAAAAAGTTAGAATAATAAGTATAATTAATTAACTATTTTGAACTATACTACTGATCCTCATGGGAATGATATCTTACTCATTTTTATATCATTTGAACGGTACGTGCACACGCGCCATCTTTTTAGCTAATCAACATCTTCATTGAATGTTAGCACAATATTAAATCATATTCAAACCATTTTTTAATCATATTTAAACCTTGATCAAACATTGATCAATTTTTTTTGAATATTATTTAAAACCTGTTTGATAGTACAAATATGTTTTGAACCAAGTTCTAACAAGGTCTGAATATGGTTCAAATAAGGTTATGTTACCATTAATACCTTTTTTTTTATTTTATAGTGTAAATGATGATTTCAAATCTAAACAATCAAACATATAATATCACTAACCTTGAAAAACTAGTCGGACACGAAGACGTCTATTTTGCCTTGAAACTTTCCAACAAATTAATTATAAGCAAATGATGATCTCTAAAACATAAAAGACGTAGGAAAGAAAAGTTCGAACAACTCGCTACCAAAAAGTTTATGTGATTACTTGCATGAGGGTTTTGATTTCTATTTTTATAATACCTAGGTAGTTTCATCATAAATGAATCCTTAAGCATATTTTTCAAAGGAAAGAAAACACTTGGCAAATTTACTTATTTGTAATATTATGATTCATCAAATTTGGAGATTCTTAGATCACAATTGGCTGGCTAAAATCAAGTTTGGCTTAAAATAACCTTAGAACGACCAATTTGTTCAACTCAACCTTAACACTAAAATTGACTCAAATTTGATCTTTTGACAAGTCAATTGGATCAGTTAGATCACACACACAAACACACAAACACACACGCCTATATTTGAGTGGCTTTTTTATTTTAAATAAATTTACTCTCAAATTTATCAAAGATTGTGAACTCTAAACCAGCTATTTTAAAGAGACACTTTCATTCACACTCATAATTGTTTTGTTTGTCCATATGTAACAATTAAATTTTTAAATTCATATGCAGAACCCTTAAATTTTTAATATTAAATAAAAAATATTACTAATATTTACTTTTTAAGAGTGAAAGAATTCTTTACATGTATTAATTTATGAAATTTAAATATTGTATATGTAAATATGAAAATTTAGAGATTAGATATATAAATACTTACTAATTGTGTAGTATGCAGGTAATTTATTTGTTTATTTTCCATTTTTGAAGAAAATATTGCGTTCAGGGTCCGGGTGCAGTTTTGTGTCCGGACTCTAATAATACAGCATCATTTGTAAAGTGATGGGACCCGATTTCATGAATTAAAAAAATGTGAAAAAACTTTTTTTTTTTTTGCGCGACACGACACGAAGACTACCCATTGCATCGAAAGAAACCCACCATAATATCGATAATAATACTAGTGATATTTTGGTGGTATTCTAGTAATATTGTTGTGGTTTTCTTGCAGTATTCTCATCATATATTAGTAGTATTATGATAATATCATGATGATATTTTTGTGGCGGTATTATGATTGTCTATTAACGATATTTTGTTGTATTATGGTGGTATTCTGATGGTTTTTTGGTGGTATTCTCGTAGTATACTAGTGATATTCTGGTTGTATACTTGTGATATTCTGTTAATATATTAGAATATCATCAAAATACTACCATAGTACAACATAAATACCACAATAATACCACTAATATACTTCTAAAATACTAATAGAATATTACCAAAATACTTATCACAAGAATACTACTATAATACAATCAAAATGTCACCATAATAAAATCGGAATACTATCAGAATATCACAAGAATATCACAAGAATACTACTAGAATATCACAAAAATATCATCATAACACAATCAAAATACCACAAGTATACCACAATAATACCGCTATAATACTACTAGTATACTATTTGAATACTACCAGAATTTCATAAGATTACCACCAAAATATAATCATAATACAACTCATTTTTTTATATTCAATAGGGTTTAGGATCTTTCGGTCGGGTCGCAAAAAATACAAAATTTTTAATATTTTTTAATTCATGAAATGGAGTGCCATCATCTTATAAATTACATCATATTATTGTCATGGATTCGTTTTTTCCCACGTTCTTGGAAGCTCCCACAAGCTTTGCTCATACACGTGGATCAAGGCATCCCATGGCTTCCCTTCTTCACAATTATACCAGGAAGATGCGACTTTCAAACATTGACAAAATCGATGGATTCATCTTCCCAAATATCTCATCCAACCTTCTTCTCCGCCTCAAAATCCCCAAATAGAACCGACTTCTAAGCTCCACCAGGTAATCTCTCCATGGAATTCCCTCGAACCCTTCGAACCCTCTTGGGTTTCCTATTGATTTCTCCATGGATTTCTCCCATACCCGCTTCTACTCATACCAAACCCTACAACACCCCCACCGCTTACGAAATGCTGGAAAAGTTTGATTTTCCCAAAGGGATTCTCCCCGAGGGGGTTCAGAGCTATTTACTGAGGAACGATGGAAGCTTTGATGTTTTTCTCGGTGATTTCTGCGAGCTCAAGGTGAGTGGGAATTACTTGTTAAGGTACAAGAAGAAGATCTCCGGCAAGTTGGAGCCTGGAAGTTTGAAGAACTTGGATGGGGTTAGTGTGAAAATCCTGTTCTTGTGGTTTGGGATCAATGAAGTTATAAGGAGTGGAGATGAGCTCAGATTCTATGTGGGGCCTTTTTCTTCTTCTTTCTCAGTCTCCAATTTTGAATTTTGTCCCCAGTGCAGAGAGAGGTTTGGTTCTGGTGATCAGTTTGTTCTGGATTTTTAGAAGATGGGTGCTGGTGAGCACTGTATCTCTTTCTTTAGCATATATTGTGTTTATTAAAGTGTGTTAAAGTAATTCATGTGCTTTTAGATTCAGTTTGTTTAGTTTCTGAGCATGTATTATCAAATTAATGAAGTGTTTGTTCAATAATAACATATCATATCTTTTGTTGAGAAATTAGTGCGAAGAAAAAACAGAAATCGACACAAATCCAGATGAACACACAGATTTAATGAGGTTTCGCAAAGATGCCTACGTCATCGGGAGCAGAGTGACGAATTTTACTATTTCAGAGGAGTCCAGTCCATACCCATAGGGTTACACATCATATATATAGATAAAACTCATAGATAAAATTACTAACACGCTCTCACTCCCCCCTACCCACTAAATTCCAAGAGACACATCTTCAATTTCAAGAGACACTCATCTTCATTCCAGGAGACATACCTCTTCAATTCTAAGAGACACTCTTCTTCATTCTAGGAGACACACCTCTTCACTCTAAGAGACTTTAAATTCTGGTATATGAGTCATACCTAACAAATTTTTACATTGGCGAATATTCAGTCCCTTAGGTGAAATACATATACCTAACAATCTTCACATTGGCGAATATTCAGCCCCTTAGGAGAAATACATCATGAAGTTTCTTACACCGAAGTGAGTTGGACAATCATGTTGTCTAACAATTGCAAACATTCAACAAGTTCAAATAATGCCAGAAGTTGTTATAGTACCTGGTATGATCAACACATCTGCTGCATTTTCATCATATGATTCAATAGAGTGAACTTCACCTATAACTGTACTCTCCAACAGTTTATAGATATTACCTACAGTGATCTTTTCTTTCATCACAGTCAATGCATCTTTAACAATTCTGACGATTTTTCTATCTTCATCTATCTTAGAAATAAAATTATTTCTGTGTAAAGTGTCCAAGTAAATTAAATTCTTCTTCAAATCTGGAATATGTCTTACATCACATCTGACAGTGTCATCATACATCTTAATTCTGACTTTGTCAATACCAATAATATTGTAACATCTATCATCACCCAAATAAACTGAACCAAAATCAGATAATCTGTATGAAATAAATCATTCTCTGTTAGGTGTTCTGTGATAAAAGCATTCTGAATAAAAAATTCATGTATCTTTCAACTGAGTTGTTGTAACTGAAAGTACATCACCATCACTGCAATTTGAATTGTCACTCTGCATCATATTCACAGACTTGGAATATATATTATGTTTCTCATCAAACTGCTTCTTGAGTTTTGGACAATCTCTCTTCATATGTCCCGACTCCTTGCACTTGTAGCAATGAATAGTCTTTCTTCCTTTAGGCTTTGACCTGGAATTTCGCATTACAGAGCTCTCATTCTCCTACTTACTTCCACGATCTTGCTTTCCCTTAACATATAAACTGTCACCATAAGAGTTTTCCCCTGCATTCTGCTTCTGCTGGTTGTGAGTCAACAATGCCGTAGTAATCTCATCAACTTTGATAGTTTCTTTCTCATATGTTAGAGTGGTCACCAGGTATTCATAAGAAGAAGACAATCAACACAACAAAATCATTGTTTGGTCTTCATCCTTAATACTCACATCAAGCCGTGCTAGATATTTGATGAAGACATTCAAGTGCTGCGTCAGATCAGTGTTTGCCTGCATCTTCAGCCCATTTAGTCTTTGTTTCAGATACAATTTATTCGTCAGAGATTTAGGCATAAACTGAGATTTCAATTTCTTTCATACTTCTCCTGAAGATTTTAAATTCATAATATGATATATAATCTCATTTGTCAGACATAAACGTATAGTACATACCTCTCGTAGTTGCAATTCTTCACAATTTTCATCTTCCATATTATCAGGTTTCGTAATTCGCAAAACATTCAAAATTTTTTGTTGTGCTAACAAATATTTCACCATTGTTTGTCACAATTCGAAGTTCCCGGCTTCATCAAACTTCAATATCTCGAATTTTGCACCAGACATTGCTATTTGAAATTAATCCTGCAGCGAAATTTTCCTATATTGTGTTGAAACCAAACACACCACAAATAAATTCAAAGAAACCTGAAATTTTTCTGTCAATTGCAGTAATTTTCTTGCAATTCTGCTGTTCGTGAATCAAATTTTTCACACGAAGCACTTTTCCCGTTCACGTTAGCACCTCGGCAAAACTGCTATCCTGGGAGTGAAATCCATCGCCTATTCGCAAAAAAACATCGTGCCTGTTCGCGAAATACCTTTTTTTGAAACCACCGCGAATAGTCGCATCTGCTCAATTCGTCTGCACCCTGCCGAACTCCACCTGTCGCAAATACTCTTGCGACAAACTTACGAACTCCCCGTTGACCGAACTCCCTGTTAGCCACCAAACTACTCTCCTCTGCGAAACTGAACTGCCGCTAAATCGCCTCGGAACTTTCTACTGCACTGCTTGCAAACTGCTCCTTCGCGGCTGCGGTAACTCCTTCCCGCAAGCAATCGCGGCGATTAGCAAACTGCTGTGACGGTTCACGAGCTCCTCCGCGAAACCAAACTCTGGTGCGTCGCGGTCCCTCGCGCCTGTTCGCGCTTGGCACCTATTCAAGGAAATTCCTTCGCATTGCCAACTAATCGCGCAAAACCGAATTCGCCTCTGCGTCGCCAAATGCCTCTGTCGCGCTCAAATCCTGATCGCAAACCTCCCGAAGCCTTCTGCCTGGTCGCGAAATATCGCCTTTGCCTGTCGTGGAAGAAGCCCTTGTCTGTCGCAGAAGATCGCCTCTGCCTGTCGCGAAAGAAGCCTGGATGCGCGATTCGCCTCTGTTGCAATCCTATTCCTCCCTCCCGCGATCGCGAACCACCGTACAGTCGCCGAATCTCCTTTCTGCGAAATTGCCAAATCGTTCTTCTTACTTGCCAACAAAATTTTTTTCTTCCCTACCCTACCCTAGAACTTGGCTCTGATACCAATTGTTGAGAAATTATAGCGAAGAAAAAACAAAAATCATCAGGGAGCTTCTAATTTCTTTTAAAGGGGCAATAGGAGACAACCCAAAGCAACGAATACCAAGCTTCTTATACCTTGATGCAATACGCAAGGTATATGTTTTAATTATTTTTTTGGATGATTTATATATATATATATATATATAACTCACAGATAAAATTACTAACGCGTCCTCGCTCCTCCCAACCCACTAAATTCCAAGACACACCTCTTCCATTCTAAGAGGCACTCCTCTTCATTTCAGGAGACACACCACTTCAATTTCAAGAGACACTCCTCTTCATTCCAGGAGACGCGTCTCTTCACTCCAATTTTACTCAATTTCAAGAGACACTCCTCTTCATTCCATGAGTCATATCTAACATCTTTATTGGGTGGTTAATTATGCATTTAGTTAGGTATTGATGTCATTGTAGGTTCCTCATAGCTTTGAAATTCTTAACTGAATACTATTTGAATGATTGATTTGGGATATAGCTTGAGGGAAGAACTGAGTAATCCTGAAAGTTATGTACCCTTGAAGAATTAAATCAGGATTAAGCTATCATAAGCTTTGGATTGACCATCATTAGATCTATGAAAAATCAATGCAAGACTGTAAATATCAGATTTTCTAACTATTTCGCAATTGTCTTTGGAGGTATATTAGTTATTTAGAAAACAGAAAACTCAGAGATGGTATAATCACCTGAAATCGAGCAGCTAATATAAATAGTTACATGAATAAGAAAAGTGAATTAAATTTGAAGGTAATAATTGTTGAATTGCTGAGTTGCAGGAACTCCATTAAATCCTTCAAATTTTGATGCTATCCAATGGAGACTTCTCAATGTAACACTCCCCCTCATGTTGGAGTATAGATGTGAAGAGTGTCCAAATTGCATAAGCTTAGAATAATGATTCTTGGATGGGTTTAGAAAGTATGTCCGCTATTTGTAGATGAAATGGCGAAAAACAAGTTATGATTTATCCTGATTGAATTTTTTTCCCTTACAAGATGGTTATTCAATTCAATATGTTTTGTACGCTCATGAAAGATTGAATTTGTTGCAACTTGTAAAACAGCTTGATTGTCAAGTTATGGAATTGTTAGTTCCAAATGATTAAATTTCACGTCTTGTAAAAAATTTCCTAACCATAAAACTTTATAAGTAATTGATATCGTAGATCTATATTTTGCTTTTGTAGATGAGCAAGAAATTGTTGGTTATTTCCTTGTTTTTCAAGAGATTAGGGAACTACTAAGAAAAACATAGTAGTTGGACAATTCACCCAATCAACATCACAATATTCAACTAATTTTATATTATTCATTGCTGGAAAAAATAGAACTTGCCCTGCAATGCCTTTTAAATATCTTAGAACCTGGATGGTTACATCAAGGTGAGGTTTACATGGCTGATTCATAAATTGACTAAGATGATGTACTACTAGCATGATGTATTATTAAGATGAAGTACTAAGTGAGAAATATCTGGTATTGTAATTGTAAGAAAGATGAGGCGTCCAACAAGTTCTCTATATCTTGTTGAATGTTTAAGTTGTCTCCATTTGTTGGGTTGAGTTTTAGATTTTGCTCCATGGGGGCATTAATTGAAGAAGCTCCTAATAAGCCAATATCATCTAGTATAACTTATGTGTACTTGCGTTATGAAATGGATGCACCTTTTTTTTTAATGTGCTAGATCTTTGCTAATGAATTACTTAAATTTTTCAATATCTTTGATTCAAACTTTTTCAAGTAGAGATCTCTTTAAAATTCATCAATAGTATTATCATTTCCCGTTAATGATTATATTATCCACATAAATCAATATTGTAGGTAAAATAATCATATGCTCGCATAAGAAGCGAATAATCTGCCATGGATTGTTGAAAACCTATATGTCAAATGATTGAAAAGTATTTTGAAAAACAATTACAAGAAGTTTGTTTAAAGCCATAAATTGATTTATTCAATCGCCACACTAAATTCCTTGCCTATCGATGATAA